AAAAGGAATTTTTAAAAAATCAGAATCCTGTTTTGCCATTGATTTCTACTAAATGTTAGTTTCACCTAACACTCTTCAAACAGGGTCTTGTTTTTGATAGTGAAACTTCAGATTTTGGCCAGCTCTGTGTTTAACGAATTATACCTGTAGATGAGGGTCTTGTGGCAGTTTATCTCACCAAGTGTTTCTTTTCCTTTACTTAGTGGACTGACTTAGCTATTCTTAAACTCTGCTCTGTGCCTAAGATGTCTTCACCCAAAAATATCCATTACTCAACCATCTTTATTTTTTTTATTGAGGTATTTATATCTCTTGAATGTTTTTTTAGCCTGAAAGTGAGGCCTCAAATTATGTGAAATGGATTTTTTTTTTAGCCATCTTTGCCTATAATGACCTGTTAAAAAAATTTGAATAGGTGAATATTTACTACAGTATTTGTACATTTCCAATTACCTTTTTGGAAAAGCTTTACTTAGAATAGGTATTTGTTGGAATTACAACATTATTTCTACTTCTTAGGTGGTTATTATTAAACTGTTCTTACATATGTTATATAACACAAAAGCACTTAATTTTTACAAAAAAAAAACCAAGTACAATTGTTTTCCGTTTTTAATATAAGCTTTGCCATTCAGAAAGGAATAACTAAGATCTCATTGTTGATGGTGTAAATAGGTATATATTGTTCATTCTATGTTTTTTTGTCTTGAGTTATTAAAATATTACAAAATAAATGTATATACAGTTTCTGATGGGCAGTCTCCTCCTGTGCAATTTACAGCCTCTGAAAACACAAAGGAGGGTAACTATGAGTTGATTCTGAATCAACATATAACGCATAACAACTACTTCAATTAAAGAGTTTACACTTGAGTTCAAGACTCATATTTCTGATTATTTAAAATATATTTAAACATGAACCTCAGGACATTTTAAATCGCAGTATGCCCTTTAATCTGTCAGTTGTTTTTATCTTTCAACCTCTAGCAAACATTGAGTAAACCAGTTTAGTTACCCTTTATTCACCATGGTCAAATAATGCATTATTTCTTCGTGGCTGTATAAATACCTGGATTGTTCCTCAATTATTCCCTTATTGTAATGATATCATTAAAATGTCATTTTCTTTGTCCCTTTCTGAATTTTTCTTCCTTTGCTTCAGTTTAGGATTAGGAAACAAACTACTTTTGACTTTTTGTTTTTCTTTCACAGTTTTATTTTTTGAGGAGACAGGGAACATAAAACATTTCAAATGCTGTCTTAACCCCAAACGTTTAGGTTTATAGTAGAAATTGGAGATTATAAGCCATTTTTTGTCCTTTTTATTTTAGAGACCCCCATGACTGTTGAATTAAAACTGCTTTTAAGTACCTGACTTTTTATAAGTAGATTTCCAGACTTCTCTAATGCGATTATTTTGGATAGACTTGAATCTCCAATCTTTAGAAGAGCAGCCCAGAGCATTTGCATTGCTCAGAAACTTACTTTCTTACTCTATTTTTGCTTTACTGTACTCTTGTGGGTACTCATGCTGCTATACTAAATGGGACAGCTCACCGATGATTTTAATTCACCAGCTACCCTGCCGGAGAAAGATGGGCAATTTACAACCTCCGGGAACACTGCTGTAAGTCAGTTCTAACTCTTTGGCACTGAATGAGTTTACTTGCTCTCTCCCAGTGAAGCCTCTGAAGTAAAGGCCTACCTAGAGTAGAGATTATAGCCAAGGTAGCCTTGTGGAGCAGTTCTACTTTGTAACACGTGAGGTTGCCATGAGTCTGAATTGATGTGATGGCATTGGATTCCATTTTGGTTGATGTGGGCATATGGCACAACTGCTCCATGGGAGAAGGGTGGGCAATCTCCTCCCATGCGATTAACTGCCCCTGGAAACCCACTGGAGGGTCAGCTGTCGGTCGGTTCCAATTCAATGGTAAACAACAACATGGAACAGCTGTTTTTTTTTTTTTAACCACAAAGAATTGTTTATATTCCCAGACATAATTTGAATAGTAGTTTTATATAGGGGAAATATTTTAAATGTAAAGTAACATTAAAGAGGTTTAAAAAGGCTTGATGCAGTTTAAACCAGGAATAGGGAAGTACAATATGTAATCAAGCAGTCTAAGGCAGAACAACAAACAGGTCTGTCCTAGAGAGAGTGAAACTAAAATGCTCCTTGGAGGCAAGGATGGTGAAACTTCATCTCACATAATTTGGGCATATCAGGAGGGCCCCGTCCTTAGAGAAGAATATTATGCTTGGGAAAGTTGAGGGTCAGTGCATGAGAGGGAGACCTTTAAGATGTATTGACACAGAGACTATAGCAGTGAGACTACCCCAAGTACATTGGAGATGGTGAGATTGGCATAGGATACAGAAGAGCCATTATAAGTTGTCAACACAACAACAATAAGGCAGAACAGATACATTTCTATAGTTACCGATTTTTTATAGTATTAAATACATTCTAATACTTTGGAAAAGTGGGACATTTTAAGTGAGGCTTTTGCTAGGATTAGTTTATACTTGGTGGGATTGATTATAAAGTAGTACTCTTGGGCTGGGGTAAGGGAGGTTAGTCATTTCTATGTCACAGGATATCTTTCCCAAATCATTTGGAAGGAAGGAGACTGCCCACCCTTCGCAGCAGCTGGTGGATTCAAACCTCATGCCTTTGGGACTTTAGGGCAGCTTACCACTGTTGTTACTGTTAGGTGCCTTTGAAGTACAACTCATAGCAACTCTAAAAAGAGCATGGTTTAAGATCTTACCTATAGGTCCCTAGAAAAACTACAATATGCAAAGTCTATGGGAATCACTCAATTTTCACAAGACACCTAATGATAACAGTGGTAAGCTGTGCTGCAGCCCCAAAGGCACGTGGTTTGAAAACACCAGCTGCTGTGCAGGAGAAGGGTGAGCAGTCTCCTTCCATGCGATTACTGCTTCTGAAAGTGTGCTGGAGGATCAGCTGTGAGTTGGCTTGGCCTTGATGGTACACAACAACAATATTTGAAAACCAGCCTGGTCTGGGAGTGAAAGGACTGGATAGCAGCTGATGACTTCTATGAGTCAGAAGAGTCGCCGCACCTGGCTACTTTTATGTTCATTGTGAGGTACACTGAACCCCTCACACTGGACAGATATGTTATTTTAACATTCTAAATGAGTTTTTAAAAAAAAAAATAACAGGAGGTGGTCATGACTGGTCAGTATAAAATTATGAAAAGAAATACTTTTTTCCTGAGAGTATACATCAGCTTGTACTATTGCCATTAGGCATAGATAGTCTTCGGCTCTGGTACTGTATCAAGGCATCCTTTGGATGCAAAATGTAAGTATTAACCGTTTTTCTTTTAGAAGATAGCTTTTGCTTGTCATTTTTGTCTCTTTTACCCCAGAATTAGGTTGTTCCCTGTGTTTTATTTCCCTTGGGCCCTTATATACAAATAATTTTATAATAGGCATTTTAAAATATAGATGCCATTTTCAATAGTGATGTGTCTTAATTCTCAGAAAAGAACTCTGACACTTCTATGATGTCACTAATAGAATGTAAATTGTAAACCCACTTCATGTAAGCAAAGCAATTACACACCTAGGTATTAGATTTGTGAGTTCTTCTGAAAGGTCTTATTTCTGTTTTAATTGAAAGAGTTCTCTGGAAGATGGTTTGTGTTTCTTGAGGGACATCTGGGTGGACAAGAGAAAATTGAACATAATAGTCATCAGTCAAAGACACAAAGTAGAGAATATTTTTTTAAATTAAAATGTTTTATTTAATCAAAAATTAAAATGAGAGTACTTGAACAATGGAATTATTGAATCACTGAAACACACAAGAATCAAAAGTACTAAGTTCTTAAAACTATTGTATCTTAAACTGTTGAACTGTACCTGATTTCATACTTTTAACATAGTTGCATGAGTCAGAATCAACTTGAGAATCACCAACAATAGATTGTATCCTAATTGATGCAACTCAGAGCATTAGGCAGAAATCTCAACTAAAATCGGCAAGTAGACGCTTTGATTTAGAACTGGATTGTCTACCCTGGGAAGTATTTATCAGAATTTAACTGAAACTGGGAAAGGCATGTGTGAGCCTCAAATGCTTTTCATGGAGCTCAGGAAAAACCTCAATTGATAATGGGTTAGAATCCATGCCCTGCGGGCTTGGACACTTCAACCACCTGAAAAAGCTGAGTACCAAATTACTTTACAAAGTGGCCATCAATATAATTGCTTTCTGTGTTGACATTTTATGCCTCTGTAAGTTTCTAGTCATAAGGTCATGGTTATTTTATTTGCTTAGGTCTCAGACACTGAATTTGAGTAATGTCCCATGTTTTTAACATAAAGGAATGGTGTAATCTAGAATGTCCTCATTTCTCATAACTGAGTTAAGGTGTGGTAACAGTTATGTTAATAGTATATGACCTTATATCTGATATATACTATATAATAGTATTATCATTTTTGAAATTATTTTACTTAGATATATAAGTATTTTAAAAGCAAAACAACCTCTCTAAACTTAGTCACTTAATGAAGTCTGCTGGCTTTTCTTACTATACATGATACAGTTAAAATGTGCAATGGAATGATTAAGATGGCAACTAATCATTCCTCTGGTGATCACAGAGAAGCTCTTTTTGCATTTTTTGGGGGGGGAACAAACTAGAGTTTTTTATTTTGAATTCTGCTTTCTTTAATAGAAATAATAAGGACTGGGTTTTATGTGATTCTAGCCTAAAGCAGAGACCTCTGGTGACATAATCTGCAGCAAGATGTACAGTGGAAATAATTTTTTTCTAAAACATGAATGATTATAGACTAGGCTATATATAATTTACTTTCATGAAAATAAAAAGAATGTATCAAGACAGCAGTTGATACGTGACAACACATTAGACAGGTGATGAGTTTGGACATATTACTTCCTAATCCTAAGAAGTTTGCAGGGGTTCCAGGTAAAGGATGATTGCTGGCTGATCTTAGACCTTCAGTGTGCTGGATGCCCGGAAGTAGGAGAGGAATTTATAACACAAGCTCACGATGAAGAACCACACATTTCGAGCCATCTGAGATCTTGCAATGAGAAAGCGCCAGATGATGAGGCAGAAGACGGTATTCAGGAGGTAGTGAATATTTCGGAGCCTGAGGTTCAAACATGCATAACCAAAGTTAGCATAACATCCAATGGAAGTTATATTTTTTGACATAAATGTGTCCTTCCTGGTTATGGCCAGAAAACATATATTAAATTTTCATAAAATATATGGTATGACTGAGAGCCTAGATACATTTTCATTGATTTGGTTTTTATCTTGTTTGTACATCATTCTTGCTGAATAATTAGATTTCCACAATATTCCCTTGACAAATATTTCTTGTATCCTACAAGAGACCTTGTGGTCTCTGGACCACAGACATGTTTACCTTTTCTTGAATACACAAACACGTTTGCCTATAATCTTGATCATATTAGCACAAATTTTCACTGATTTTTGTTCACTCTAAGTAAATTCTAAAGTTTGTAACCTGCATTGAAGATTCCACTCTTCAGTTTACAATCTAAGTGTTAACCTTTTCTTCTCTGTTATACAAATCTTTTGCTTCTGCCAGATATAACACTAGTAAAATAATTTTAGAGATTATTGACCAAAAGAAGCTAAAAATACAAGAGCAGTTAAGTGATTCTCCCAGGTTAAATCCTAGAATTGCTGCTCATCACTGGAGTATTCTTTTTATGTTATTGGGTTTTATTTTGATGGAGTGTGGGAGAAGAAACAGAAAACTTAGATTCAAATCATGGCTCTTGTACTCTCCATGTATTAACAAGAATGAGTTACTTAACTCATTTGAACCTGAGTATCTCTTTTGTAGACATAGAGAAACAGACAAAGAATATCAGACTTGGAGAGATTTGTTGATAACTAAGTGAAACAATGTCTAAAATGGCATAGTCCAGAGCCCAGAGTCTACTACAGTAATGTTCAAAAAATGTTAATTCCTTCTTTCACCCAAATTTTATGTCTTATTTAAAATCAGGTCCACTGTATGTGCCCACTAAATACTGATCGTGCTTACCTTTTGTTGTGTTGCTTTGCTTCTGGGATCGCAGCTATATCCTCTTTCAGTAAGTACATCTTAATTCCCAAAACATAATTTTCAATGTATTCTAACCAATTCAGTGGGCGCATATCAAAGTTGAATATCTGATAGGCAAGAAAAAAGTATGACTAACAATCCTTGGATGGTCATTTTTATCAATTTGATAAAGTCTACTACATTAATAAGTGACGTTTAATTTGAGAGACTGAGGTTGGGACCCTTCCACAAAGATCATTTGGGCTATTCTTTTGAAGCATCCATTCGACACTGAGGAAGTGTTTTTGAAGAAATGCACATTACAAGAATATTCATACATTTAAATGAACTGGAAATACTTAACTGGAGAAAGCTTAAGAAAGTACTTCGAAATTTCGTCAAGTAAGGATTAATTATTTTTAAACAAAGGTTGGAATAATGTGTTAGAAACAACAACAAAAGCTAGTTATGCCCTCCCCCGACTCTGTTTGTCAATTCCACTCTAGTGTTGGTGCCTTAGCATATTTTTTCCAATGTTCCTGCCACATTATGCATATTAGGCTAACTTTTGAGAAGTAAAACAGAATTCACATTTAAAAGTCAGAGAGTGAATGGAAGTGAAAGAGATCCCAGGAAAAACTTGTTTGTTTTATGAAGAAGAGAAAGATCAGTTTTTTTGAGGGAGAAAATTTGTCACAGAGGATACTGAAAATGACAATGAGGAATTTTTCCCCTGCAACTAACAATGTAATTAATTTGATATCTTACTGAAAGGCCAGAGTGAAGAGTTAATACCTTTCAATAGCTATTATTTCTGCCATACTTTATTTGAAGATTATATTACACTGACATTGAATCCTGAAGAAGCCTAGCTTGATATGGAATACAAATGGGAAAAGAATGGGTTTGTAAGACAAGCATAATTTTTGTTACCCAGACATTTCTTCTCAAAGTCTTCATGGTGCTTAATTGGGGGGGGGGCGGGTGGAGGAAGGAGAATAGAGACTTAAAACATGGACAGACTTTTGCTTGACTATAAGTATCTTAAGCAATAACATGTCAACCAGATAGTGGTATCATCTGTGAAAATAGTAAGAATATATAGTACTCCCTGGAGGACTTAAGTGTGATCCTATTAAAGTATTTCAAATTGTCACAATATGATCTTAGTGATATTTGCACATGATAGATTTCATTTTCAAATTTTATATAATGGATTTAGTGAGAATAGCCTGAAATTCATCAAAATGGAATCAAGTATTCAAAATTTTTTTGCTTTGATATGTTTTGTTTTAGAATGTTTGAGTATGACTCATACCAACCCTATGACTAACAGACCCGAACCCTGTGCTGTGCTGTCCCATCCTCATCATGTCTGTTATACTCCAGCCTATTGCTGCAGTAACTGTCCATCCATCTCATTGAAGGTCTCCCTCTCGTTCTCAGCCTTCATCTCTCCAAGAATGATGTCCCTTTCTAATGAAGGCACACGGTTCAAACCCATCAGCTGCTCTGTGCGGGAAAGATGGGCAAACTCCTACCATTTATAGCCTCTGAAAACTCACTGGAGGGTCAGCTATGAAGTGATTATAAATGGCACATAACAACAACAGAAAAACCACCAAATTTTACTTTTTACATGTAGCCTGAGTTTGTTTTGGTTTTTTTTTTTTAAAAAAATTTATTTTTATTATTTGTGTGTACCGTCAAATCTGATTTGATTGGTCCAGGAGGACATTGTTCCTCCTTCTCCAGCAGAGCATGTGGTGGATTTGAACGGCACACCTCTGGGATTGCAGTGCAGCTTCTTGCTACGAGGCCACCAGAGCTCGACATAGCCTGAGTTTTAATGGGGGCTTAAATTGTACCAGATCAAAGACATTTGTTGTAAAAATTGATAAATAAAAAAGTACAAGCCACTCACTATTAAAAGTATTGACTATATAACGCTACTTTAAATGTTATTTTCTTAACTTGGAGCTTCCAGGGTTTGTGACAGCTTATACAGCAAACATCAAACTGCTAAAGAATAAGATTGAATTTGAGACTTTAAAAATGTAGCGACTTTCTTAGAGGTACATTATTTCTGCCTCCTGTGCTTTTTATCCAAACAAGTTATCAATCACAGAAAAACATACCTGTAAAAGGATCTTGGTGAGAAAGTGGCTACATTTAAACACTCTGAGGATTCAGTAAACATTCATTTAATGGCTTAGCACTTTCCTAATTGCTTTTGGTGTTGTTATCCTCTCAATTTACATGGGGAAGATGGGGAGGGAGCAGGGAATGTTTCTTTAGAAATTATTACTAAGAGAAACTTCCTACAGATGGCAGTATAAGGAGCTCTGTATCCCCATTATCCCACATGGTTACCATGGAAAATCCCAGGAATTGGTATGCTCTGTAAGAATCCTGTAAAGTGAAAAATTACTAAACAAATGCTCAATCAGAAAAACAACTGGGAGCAAAATATAGTTGGGAGAAAAACCTTTAGTTTCCACTGACTACACATATATAGTCTCTGGCTTGGTGGCAGTGACAGCAGGAGATGGTCCTCTGCTCTCTGAGGACAGGCCTAAAGTCCTCAGTTCTGGAGGGGGAAAGCCAATGTTGCAGGGGATTATGGAGTGTGCCTGTTCTGTCTGAGGCTCTTTGGAGGAATTTGGGGCACTTCATCCATTTGTCCTACCTTGGAACACACGCCTGGGGGCAGCAAGGAACACCTGAAAGCTGTATTATTTTCAACTAGATCATGTGATCTAAGTAAACAGTGAACATCTGAGCACTAAAGGAAAAGTTGGAGTGAGAATTTCTTTCAGAAATTTCCCAACCCCTTTGAGGGAAAGAAGATGAAACATGTGACTGTACATTAGCAGTAAACATCTAACCCAAGTCCAGTAACCTAAGAAATTGGGACTTGTCAGTTGTATTGATAGCACTGACTGAACAAAAATATCTTCTGCTGGGTGTATAATCTCATATATGGTAATATAAAACTTCTTTCATTTATCAGCTTCTCTGGTGAAATAATTCTAAATGGATACCATTTTTCTGCTTTTCCTTCCAGTCTGTACTTACTTTTTGGTCTTCGGGACTCAGCTCAAACATTAGCATTTCTGTATTGTATGTACTCCATTCCCAACTATGATTGATGAAATACTCTGTGAGGGCAATGGTTTTCAAGAGCCGATTCATGAGCTTTGTCATCCTAAAATAAAGATCAAATAGGAGTAAATATCAGTAGCACAGAGCTTTCTGCTTCTCTGTAATTCATGAGGTTTTCTGATGCATCATTTTTAGGAAATACTTTGTAGAAAATACAAATGTATCCCTCTTGACCCTTCTCCTCCATCCCTCATTATAACTTTCATTCTTTTTCCCCGACTTTAATGCTGTTGAATGAATTTTTAGGGATGAATAAAGGAACATGTTCTACCAGACATTTTAATACCACATTTCCTCATTTTTGTTCCCCATTAAATCTCTCTCACATAATAACAAAGTTAATGTCAATCTGAGCTGTCCACTTTTAGTAATATACCATTTATTATTTTAATTCAGAGGAAGGCAATGAGGAAGCTTCCATATTAGATTTAAAAAGAAGACAGGATTCTTGGAATATTTCTAGCAAGAAGTAAAACTCTGATGGCTTAATGATAAAGAATTTTGCTGCCAATCCAGAGACACACAGTTCAAATTAACCATCTTCTCCAAGGGAGACAGGTGGGCTATCTCCTCTTGTGAGATTTACTGCCTCTAAAAACCCGCTGGAAGGTCAGCTTTGAGTTGGATCTTACTCCACATTACGTATATAACAACAAGAAGTGAGAAATGCTGACTGTATTGAGTATACGGAACTGCAGGTAATGCTTAATTTCAATGCAGATTTAAGGGAGAAGAATTTATTTATTGCTAATTTACTCCTTAAGTTAGGTACATGACTGATACTTATAGCTCTGCTAATTCCCACAGCAATTCTTTATGATGAGTACTTATCTTTCATTTATGAATGGGTAAAGTGAGTTTACAATACACTAGCTATGCTTGTTCTTGTTAGATGCCATTGAGTACGATCCATAGCAACCATATTAACAACCAATATGAACACTGTCCTATCCTGTGGCATCCTTACAATCTCTGACACACTCAAGCCCATTGCTGCAGACACCATATAGACTGATATAGTCTACCTGGTTGAGGGTCTTGCTATCTCACCACCTTTCCAAGCATGATGTTCTCTCCAAGGAATAACCTCTTCTAGCAACATGCTCTAAGTATATGACACTAAGCTTCATTATCTTTGCCTCCAAGGAGTACTCTTGCTACCCCTTTCCAAGGCCTATCTGTTGCTTTGGCAGTCCATTGGATCTTCAGCACTCTTCTCCAACACCACAGTACAAAGTTATCAACTCTTCTTCATCCTTATTCTTGTACAGCTCATAGCAAACCTATGAACAACAGATTTGAAATCTATCCTGTGCCATCCTCACAATTTCCAACATACTTGAGCCATTGCTGCAGTCAGTGTGTCAATCCACCTGGCTGAGGGTCTTGTTCTCTTTCTCTGTCCCACCACATTTCCAGGCATGATGTCCTCTCCAAGGAATAGCCTCTCCTAGCAGCATGTCTAACGTACATGGAACAAAGCTTTTCCATCCTTGACCCAGACACATTCTGGCTGCACCTTCTCCAAGGCATGTCTCTGTTCTTTTAGCAGTCCATAAGATCTTCAGCACTCTTCTTCAACCTCATAATCCAAAGGTATCACTTTTCTTCAGTCATCCTTATTCATTATCCAGCTTTCAGATGCATAGCAAGGGACTGAAAAGTCCATGGCCTAAATCAAGCACACCTTAGTCCTCAAACTAACAACACTGCTCCTCAATACTTTGGATGGAGAGATCCCTAAGACTCTCCCAGTGCAATAAGTCTCTTAATCTCCTGACTCCTGGTACCAAGTGTACTGATTGTGGATACAAGTAAAATTAAGTCATAAACAGTTTCAATCTTTTCTTTATCTTTCATGATGTCACCTATGGGTCCAGTGGTGAGGATTTTTGTTTTAACACTGAGATGCAATCCATTCTGAAGGCTACAGTATTTAACCTTCTGCAGCAAGCACTTCAAGTCCTCTTCACTTTCAGGAAGGAAGGTGTGCCATCTGCATACCGAAGGTTACTGAGAAGTTTTCCTCCAATACTGTTGCCACAGTCTTCTTTACAGAGACCAGCTTCTCAAATAATTTGCTCAGCATATAGATTAAATAGGTATGGTGAAAGGCTAGAGCCCTGACACACAGCTTTCTTAATTTTAAACCACATAGTGTTCCCGTGCTCTGTTCACACAATACGTCTAGGCTTAGGTCTAGGTTTCTCATGTGCACAATTAAGTGCTCTGGAATTCCCATTCTTCTCAATGTTAGCCATAACTTGTTATGATCCACACAGTCAAATGCCTTTGCACAGTCAATACAACACAAATAGACATTCTTCTGGCATTCTTTGCTTTGATCCAAGATACATCTGACATCAGCTTTTACATTCATGGTGCCACGGTCTCTTCTAAACCCAGCTTGAAAGTTGGAAGTTCTCGATGCACTGTTCTAACCTTTTAAAATGTTCATCATTGATATTTTGCTTGCATGTGATATTCCAATGATATTTGAAAATTTCCATATTCTCCTGGCCCACCTACATTACCAAACCAAAGGCACATGGTTCAAAGCTGCCAGATGCTTCGTGGGAGAAAAATGGCAATCAACTCCTGTGTGATTATCTACCTCTGAAAACCAGCTAGAGGATTAACCATGAGTCAGTTCTGACTCAGTAACTAATAGACTAGCTATTAAGTGACAAAATTAAAATAATGGTTCAATTCTGACTACCATGGGTCTCTGCCTTTGTGATATTTCCACCTAAGCAAAAAGAACCATCTCTTTCAATTCATGATCTAGATTTTTGTTAGCTCCACTGTTTTAAGTCTCTAAACTGAACAACTTATAAAAAAATAAATACAAGCCAACAAAACCTTTCAAGTATCCAGTCTTATTTATGAAATGACTAGGATTTAATATTCTTTCTCTCTGGTGGCACTGTCAGTAGAGCGTTGTGCTCCCAACCCAAAAGCAGTTGCTCTCTGGCAGTTCAAACAACCAGCAGCTCCTCAGAATAAAGATAAACAGTCTCCTGTGGAATTTACAGCCTCTGAAAACACACTCGAGGTTCAGCTGAGTCAGTTCCTACTTGAAGGCCATAAATTGAGTTGCTCTCCATATTATAGCATAATTAATATACACAAGACCAATGCTCAAACTCAAGTCTTAACAAATACACATCTCCTTTGGCCAAATTGTCAGGTACCATTGAGTCCACTCCAACTTCTACTGAATCCAGGTGACAGATCAGAACTTCCTCACAGATTTTTCTAGGCTGTAATTTTTTATGGGAGAACATTGCTAAGTCTTATCTCCTGTGGGCTCAAGCCATCAGTCACTTTGTTAAGCAGTGAAGTACTTAACCCAAAAGAAAGGGTGCTTTCTTTTGGTCTGTGAGGTCCTTGATTTTCATCTCTTAGGTCAACTTGTCATGGTGGTGGTATTTCTATAGTTAGACACAGAAATTAATGTAATGCTAGCCTGAGAACTTTGGCTTTAATTCTGGTCAAATTCACATATTTCATGAGTTATAAGGTACTACTTTCATAATATTACAGAAAAGGAGGGATAGGTGATATCTTTGTTTCCTGACTATAATAATGTTTCATTTATCTGTTATTGTCATATCTTTAACTATTCTATGGTTCTGATGCAATTGATGTGATTTCACACAGATTGTATCTTGTGTTCATTTATTTGTCAATTTTATATACATTGCTATAGGAAAACAATGGTATTTTTAGAATAAACTATGCTGTTGTTAGGTGTTACCTAATCAGTTATAGCACATAGTGACCCTATACACAACAGAACAAACCCTTGCCAAGTCCTGGGCCATCCTCAGAATCACTGCTGTGCTGATGGACACTGTTGTGGCACTTTGTCAATTCATCTCATTCAGTGTCTTCTCTTTTTGATGATTCTCTCCTTAACCATTCATAACGTCTTTCCCCATGGATCAGTCCCTCTGGATAATATTCCCAAGTCTTATCTCCCATTCTTCTAAGGAGCATCCTGTCTGAATATCTTTTAAAACAGTTTGTTCTTTGGCAGTTCATGGTATACTCGGTACATTTTACCAACACCACAAGTCAAAGGAATCAATGTTCCTTCAGCCTTTGTTATACAAGCTTCACATGTGTGTGAGGTCATTGAAAGGATCGTGGGTTTAGTCAGGTGCGCTTCAGTCTTCGCAGCCACATCCATGCTCTTCCTCACTTTAAAGAGGGCCTTGAGAGCAGAATGGCTGATTGCAGTATGTTGTCAATTTCTCAACTGCAGCTCCCATGGGTGTTGCCTGTGGATCTAAGTAAAACAAAATCCCTGACGACCTCAAACTTTTCCCCCTTTACCATGATGGTGCTTACTGTTTCAATAGTGAGGAATTTTATTTTCCTTTATGTTGAGCTATCATCCATATGGAAAGCTACATTCTTTAGTTTTATCTGTAAATGCTTCAAGTTTTCTTCTTTTGCTGTAAGCAAAGTTGTGCCATGTGTATACTGCAAACTATTGATAAGTCTTCCGTCAATCCTGATACCACATTCTGCTCCATGTAGGCTAGCATCTCGGATTATTTGCTCAGTATGTAAGTGGTAAAATGTATGATGAAAGGGTACAGCCCTGATGTACACATTTTCTGACTTTAAACTACTCTCATATAGACAAAAGTCTCCTAAAAAATAAAAAGCTAAAAATGAGCAATACATTTTACTGCTTGAAACGATAAAATATCAGGGAGCTCTGGTGGCCTAGTGGCAAGAAGTGGCACTGCAATCCCAGAGGCACATGTTTCGAACCTACTAGATGCTCTGCTGAAGGAGGGACAACTCTTCCTGTACCAGTGGGATCCAATTTGATGGTATACACACACACACACACACGACAAAAAAAAAAAAAAAACAACAAAAAACCTCCAACAACTATAAAAAGGTCTTTAGTAATAGAACCTAACCTCTAAATAGTTCCTATAGTCTAAGTACTCTTGAGAGTTCTGGTAGTCTAGTGAGTGGTTAGGAGCTGCACTGAAATCCCAAAGGCACATGGTTCGAATCCACCGGCTGCTTCGCGGGAGAAGGATGGGCAATCTCGTCCCACGTGATTAACTGCCTCTGAAAACCCACCAGAAGTTCAGCTATGGATGGGTGAGTTCCGACTCAGGGCACATACAACAGCAAGTAATCTAGCTCTGGTGGCCTGGTGAGTTGGGAGTTGCCCTGCTAACACAAAGGTGACATCTCTTTAGTAGTTAGAATCCCTAAGCCACTCCTCAGGATAAAGAAGGGCAATCTGCAGCTTCCAAGTCTGCTAGACGGTCAGTTACGGATCGGTCAGCTATGGATCGGTTCCAATTTAAAGGTAAACACGCTTCTGTAATAGGCTATAAGGCAGACATTTTTAGTATTTCCATTCTATAAACTTGGGTGTTAAGAATGAAAGGGGTTAAGATTTAGAGAGGTTGAATAATTTAGGTCTCATATAGCAAAATTAAGGACTCTTAGTGAGACTTAGCAGGGACGCTCTGGTGGCTTCGTGAGGTGTAGGGAGTGGTGCTGCTGACCAAGGGCGGTGCCTCGGTGCTTGTGGATCCACATGCAGCTAAGGGAAGAAATCTCCCACACTGTTTACAGCCTCTGAAAACCTACTGGGGGGATCAGATACGGCTGGTTCTGACTCAATAGCATGGAGGTTTGCTTGGTGGCACAGGCATTTGTACTTGTCTGTGAACTAAAAAATTGGCAAGTAAAACTCACCAGCTGATCCACTAAAGAAATGTCCAATGCCCATAAAATCTTCTTACTATGTGACATGGAGTTTAAACTGAATCATAGCTAACCTGTCCCCCTTTTCTGGTGAGTTTTCAAAGGTTGTATACTACCTTTTCACACTCAGGGCAGCTAGTAGATTCAACCAAGTACTGTTTGGTTGGCAGCACAATTTTTATCCCTAGGCCATTGTTATTGTTGTTATGTGCTTTTGTGTCACCTGTGACTCATAGGGACCCTATGTGCAACAGCCCTAAACCCTGTTCCATCCTGTGCCAATCGCACTGCTTCTGACACACCTACCCCCAAAACCCCAGTCATGGAATCAATCCGTCTCATCAAGGGTCTTCCTCTCCTACGATGTCCCTCCACCCCCCCCCCAAGCATGATGTGGCCCTCCAAGGATCGGACCCTCCTTGCAACATGTCCAAAGTAGGTCAAAGTAGATCTCCTAGGCCACTAGCTTCCTCATAAAGTCTTATGCCTAGGAAATCCTGTTGAGCAATTATACAACAAAACTGGTTGCTTGATATTCTAGATATAGCCTAGCTTCTGTAGCAATCAGAGCAGTACCAATCAAAAATTATAAAGTGATGACATTCCTTATTGACATTTCAAGTTTGTTGGTACCCCCACCCCCACTGCTTAATACTGAGGGTTAGGGAAGACATTCATACCCTTGTCACAATCTCCTTCCATACAATTAACTGCCTCTGAAAACCCACTAGAGACTCAGCTATGGGTCCATTTCAACTCCACAGCACACAACAACAATGCTGACAGAGCCTTCTTTTAGGGTGGCCCACCAGTAGTCACTGCACTTGATGCCCTTTCAACAATGCCACTCCTCAGCATACTACCAAGACAAAGTGGTAATATGTGCAAATATGCTATATGCACTGTTAATTCATGGCTCCACTGTCTGTAATCTAGAAGAGGAGGCAAAATGCCAGCCAAATGACAAATTGATATTAAGGGAATATTTTTGGTAAATAAAATTTGAACACTTGAAAATTTGTACACACATGCACACACCCAAAGGAAGATTATTATTCAGACCTGTATGACTATGAATGCATAAAAGATCACATACAAACAGGCTAGAAGGGCTTAGTTTAGAAGAACTTTAGCTTTTTCTGTTGTTGTTGCTGTTGTCTTTAGGGGGAAAAAACCACAATCCATTAGCTAAAAACATCAGGATGTAATTTGTTAGGAACAAGATGCATGCAGATTTTTATTATGTTCCTCCTACTTTTCCTTTGCTACTTAGGAAGCTTCATTCTCTGGTCATGCGTTCTTCCAGCTCTGACATATTTTAAAGTCTATTTCTCTACAGTGTTTACTTTTTCTTCTTTTTCAGTATTTTCAAATAAGCCCCATATAAACATTTCCTCCCCAATGTCCTTTTTTTTACCTTGCTCAAGAAAAAAAAGGACGATTGCTGAGTTAAAAGCTGTGTCTAAAAGGTAAGATCTGGTTTCTACAAAGCTGGATAAAGTAAACATTGCCTGAATTTTAGAAATTTGCTTTGCTAATAAAGATGGAAATTAAACATGAGGAGACAGACTTCATCCACAGTAAAGGAACTGGTAAAGAAAGCAGAAGTATCAATATTTATGATTCTCGATCATGGGAATGAAATAATAATGATTCTCTAGATAAGTCAAACTTTATTCAAGTACCACGGAGAGGTAAAGGGACATGTCTATGTCACACACTTAAATGACGGTAGACGGCCTCAGCATCAGCACTGTTTAGTACACATTATTCCTTCTAATGTCTCAAAAACAACAATAACAACAAAAACCTTCCAAATATCTAGGGCAACTCTGCATAGTGTCTCCAAGGCATAAACATGCCTCATTTTTGTCCTGTAGAGCAGGTACTTTGTTTGGTGCGCTAGTCTTCTGGCTAGCAGTGCAGCCTTAATTTACTATGCTGCCAGGGATTTTGTTTTGTTGTTAAGTGCCATGGAGTCAACTATGACTCATAGAGACCCTAGGAACCACACACAGATTGAAACCTTCCCCTGTCCTGTGCCATTCTCACGCTCTGCTATTAAAACCAGTTACGAATTTTAGTCTTGATGCTCAACTTTCTCCAAATTTTTTCTTTGACAGTTCCTTGGAAGCTACTTTAACTTCTTTCTTCCCTTAGTCACTGTTTCCTCATATGTAAAATTGGGATGATAAAATGATTCTCCCTGGGTAGCTGTGAAAATGAGCTTATCCTGTGTGTACAGCTCATAGCCCTACTGATGCCACTACAGGGACAAAGTCAAAATTGTTTTCTTGGAGGTAGGGCATGAGTGGGAGAGGGCATGGTGGGTCATCACTTGCTGAGTTCATCAGCCAACCTGCTTAACATTTAACTTCCTTTACTATGGCAGATGATTCGAAGAGTCTTTTGTGGCTCTCACTATCGTTATTCTGGTCATGTCAAAATTTAAATGTCAAATTCAGTGGTCTCCTTTGATCCCCAGTTGAAGACTGTGCTAAAGATTAAGCTTTAATCTCTAGTGGCTGAGTGGTAAAGAGCTGTGCTGTCAGCCCAAAAGCTGGCAGCTCGAATCCACCACCTGGATTCTTCAGGAGAAAGATGAGAAATCTCCTCCTGTTAGGTTTACAGCTTCAGAAAACCTGCAGAGGGTCAGCTATTAGTTGGTTCTGACAGGTTGGCACAGAACAACAACAACAACAACAGCAATTTCTCATGCCAGGCCGTTCAAAGCATTTGACTGAGCTTCTCACTTGGGCTTCCTTCCTGTGAGCTGCAGGTAGAAGTCGTACAGGATGGCCGGAGCCCGGTGACTGACTGCATTCCAGTACTTGCTTAACAACTTGTTGCTTGTGTAGTTCGCATTTGGCTGCCTGAAGGCTTTTTCAAATGGAATCTTTTGAAGAGTTTCTAAGATTTGTAATCCTAGAAAGAAAACAGAGAAACTGATAAAGTGCTAAGTCTAAGAGTATCTCCCTACAGAGATATTTATTTTTACTAAAGCTTAACAGTAACAAAGTCAAAGAATTTGCAGTCTAGCATCAAGAACTAATTTCTAAGAATTGTGGAAAGGTTTTAATGCAAAGCATGTAATCATCAACATTTGACTTCTTGAATGCGTAAGTAAAGTGAATGACATCTTCAATGTAACGAATTGCTTTTATTAGATTTTTCTCGACATAGTCTTGTAACTCTCACCAAATAACTGTAGTATGTAAATGTGGTGGATTTGACTCACTAAAGGGATGGCATAGCCTGCACATGATGTATAGAAGGGACAGGCATTGTTGTGGGGAGGGACTATGGAAGTAAGGTGTGTAGAATGCTAATTAGGGAGCTGCCATCCCACTAGGCTTCAAATCAATCTCCCCAGAGGTGGACAGGGAATGCTTCACAAGATGATGGGGGGGGGGGGGAAGATGATAGGAGAGTGCTCTTCTGGGTCTAAATTCTCTGCACTGAAAAATTCCTAGATCCAGTACACACACACACACACACACACACACACACACACATGGCTGAGGGGAGAGAAAGAAGGGGTGAGAGACACACAGAGAGAGATGAGAGCTGAAGAATAGTGGCAGTAGAACCAGGACACCAGAGATAGCCCTACTGGGCTTCCTAGCTATGGAGCAAGGCTTGCTCACCTAAGGAACAAGACAGCCTGGTGCCTACAAGGCAGAAGGCTTCCTGGTGGAGTCTATCTACAGCTCTGGACATTTGTCAGGGGAGATAAACAGTCTTGTGAACACTTGCCTGAGCAAGGCAGCAGCCCGGAGGCTGAGAGAGAGTTCTCTGTGTAGGCATGAGTGAGGAACTGACAGAGGAGAATTGTACCCAGAGTCCTTTCTGATCCTGAAATGTAGCATGTTTCTTCTCAATTAAAGCCCATAATTGTGAGTTTGGGCTGCGAGTCCTATGTAGATTACTAAACCTAGCAGAAATGTGCAGAGTGCCACGGGAGGGACCAACAGCATCAGAATTGGTAAGATTAGAGAGAGGTGCTATGTGTCACATTCTACCTTGTAGGAATCAGCCTGGGCTGATGCTGACAGAGATTCACTCCTCCCTCTTGTGAAGTTAGAAGAGCTCAGATGACCCCGTGCCTTTTTTACAATATCGTTTAATCTAAAAATAATTCATAGAAGTGCTGAGGTAGAAAAAAAAAAGAAGTGCTGAGGTAGAAAGGTCATGACATGCATTTCCTATCCTTAAATAGTCAATGTCATGGTAATGGAGACAAACATTCATTACAAAGCAGTGCTTAGATAATATGCTAGCAGCCAGCATGCTAAAAGTTAAAGGATGATTTAGGCAGCCTCTAACTGGTGTTGGATAAGAGTACTGACTGTCCTATGGACTACCAAGAGAACAGACAAAAGACAGATCTGGGAGAAAGTGAAACCAGAACGCTCCTTAGAGACAAGGATGGAGAAGCTTCATGTCACATACTGTGGGCATGTTGTTCAGATGAACCAGTTCTTGAAGAAAGGCATCAGGCTTGAAAGTGAGGAAGGTCAGCAAAGGAGAGCAAGACTCTTAGTAAGATGGACTGACATAGTCACTCTAGCAGTGGACTCAAGTGTGTCAGAGATGAGGATGGGACAGTGTTCATATCCATTGCTTATAGGGTTGCTATGAGTCGTACTCGATTTGATGGCACCTAACAATATCGAACACTCTGATTGATGCTGAGGTGTTGGGCCAGTTGTGTGGGCCAGAAAGGTTTCCTGAGAAAGCTGTGCAAGTAGCAAGAGTGATTAACGTTTATGGAAATGCTTACTGTTGTAGTCTGTCAAGAGCTCTTTGAAGTGGAATGATTAGAATGATTTTCCTATTTGACAGGTAAAAAATAAAGCAAAAGGCAAACATGAAATTGTCTTTATAAACTCATGTAATTAATACATAGTAGAATCTAGTAAATGAATGGCAAAACATAGATCGCAATGTGACTGCCATGAGGACAGATGTCTATCTGTCTGTTTGTACTGGTATTCCAAGTCCCAAGAGCAGTGCCTGTTTAATAATGACTCAACATAAGTAATATGCCAGGATTTGAACCCAGGTCTATCTGACTTCCTGAGAGAGGATCTCCTTGACACATCTTCTTGGAGCTATAACAGGTTTGGCCCCAGACTGCCACAATAAAACAGGCAGCACAAATAAGGGAAGCTCTGTGAATTTTGTGGCTTATAGCCCATAAAACAGTTGTGTTTACCTTACATTGGATGTGTTTATTAAAAGTGCTGATGGCCTTCTCAGAAAGTTTGAAATATTGTGAGAAATACATGCTGTGACACAGAGATAAAAAGTGAGGATATGCTCTTTCAAATTTGTTTGCCTGACAAAGGTTTCCATAGACCTTCTATTTGTGGAAAAACCCATTATTTGTGAAGCACAATGATACAGAAGGTGGTGTCCACTTCACCAGGAAGGCTTCTGTCTTGAAGGCACCAGGCTGCTTTGCTTGTTATGTCAACAAGCCTTGCTCCATGGCTAGGAAGCCCACGAGGCCATCTCGCTCTGGTGTCCTAGTTCTACTGCCAATGTTCCTCTGCTCTGTCCTGTTCTCTCTCTCTGTTTTTTAGTCTCTCTCCCTCTCTCACCCCTCATGTGTTTGTGTGTATGTGTGCTGGGTCCAGGAAGTTGTGCTGAGAAGATGAGAGAGTGAGGTTTGCTTGTGGTGCCTTTGCAGTGGCTGGAATCTGGAGGATAAGTAAGATCCCATGCACATGTGGAATATGCACAACATTTTGCCATGTTTTAAGACATGCAGCAAGTCTCAACGTACTTCAAAGAGTGTTATATAAGTGTAATTCTCTGTCCACAAAAGAATTAAGCTAGTTGATATGAGCATAAATATTAGCTAGGTATTTTATTTTCATTAATACTGAAGTAGTAAAGAGAGGTGGACCTTCCACAAGAGGAATGACACAGTAACTGTAACAATGGGCTTGAGTATATCAGAGGCAATGAGGATGGAACACCCTCAAGCAAAAGACTGATGCTTTAAAGTTTTCAGGTTTCACACCAAAAAATTAAGACATACAAGATTGCACCTCAGGGAAACCTAACCCATAGGTACGTGGTTTGAGTCCATCAGTTGTACTTGGGAGAAAGATGAGCATCCTCCTCCCCTGTGATTGATTAACTGTCTTTGAAAACCCACTGGGCGGTAAGCTAAGGGTCGATTCCACCTCAACTGTACATATCAACACAACAACACATTGCATCTCAGCATCAAAGAAACAGATTCTCACCACCTGGCAAATAGGATTACGGAGAAAAGATTGAGGTTGTCAACGATTTCATCTTACTCAGATCCACAACTGTACCCTTAGCATCAGCAGTCAGGAAATCAAAAGATTAGTTGCACTGGGAAAATCTGCTGTCAAGGACCTTCTTCCCAGAGTGCTGTAGAGCAATGATGTCAGTCTAGAGAATAGGGGACAGCTGATCCAGGCTATAGTCTTCTGAATTACTTCCTATGTATCTGAGAGCTAGACAAAGAATAAGGATGATAGAAGAAGAATCGATGCCTAGGAGTTGTACTGGAGAAGAGTGTTTAACATTCCATAGGCTCTTAAGAGAACAGTATTGTCCTGGAAAGGGTGAAATAAGGCAAGGTGTCTGAAACTCCATCTCACACACTTTGGACATGTTGCCAGGAGGGATCAGTCCTTGGAGAAGGACATCATACTTGGAAAGGTAGAAGATCAGTGCAAGACAGGAAGACCTTGAATGACATGGCTTGTCAGAGATGATTAGGTTGGCTCAGGACAGGGTGAGGTTCAGAGCTGTTGTTTATAGGGTTGCTGTGGATCAGCGTCAACTAGATGGCATATAACAAAACAACAGACTAGCTTATTATTGAATACTATATGGAATAAATTATTTGAGAAACTAAACTCTATGAAGAAGAATGTGGCATCAGAAACAGCGGAAGACTTATCAATAACCTATCTTATGTACATGACACAACTTTGCTTGCTGAAAGGGAGGAGGACTTGAAGCACCTATTGCAGAAATGCATCACAACTTCAAGAAAACAAAATTTCTCACCACTGGACTAATAGGCAACATAATGAAAAAAGAGAAAAGATTGACACTGTCTATGACTTCATCTTACTTTGATCCACAATCAATATACTTGGAACTAGCAGTAAGGAGCTCAGGAGACATATTGCACTGGGGAAGTCTGCAGTTAGGAACCTCTCCAAATGATTGAGCAAAAATAATGTTAATTTGAGGACCAGGGTATGCTTGATTCAGGACATGGTCTTTTAAATCACTTGCTATGCATCTGAGAGCTGGACAATGAATGAGGATGACTGAAAATTATGCCTTTGGCTGTGGCATTGGAGAAGAGTCTCACAGATTGCCAAAAGAACAGATAGACATGTCTTGGAGAAGGAGCAGTCAGAGTATATCTTGGAGACAAAGAAGACAAAGCTTTTTCCTCACATATTTTGGGGATGTTGTTAGGAGAGGTTCTTTCTTGAAGAGAGATTTCATGCTTGGAAAGGTAGCAGGACTATGAAGACGTGGGAGGTGGATTGACACAGTGACTGCAGCAATAGGCTTATGTATGTCAGAGATTGTGAGTATGGCCCAGGATGGGATAGGATTCAGATCTGTTGTCCTTAGAACCACTATCCGTCGTACTCCATTCAGTGGCAGCTAACAACAGCAGACTGGCTAATTCCTATTATATGTAAGGGTAATCACTTCAATTGGACAAGATATTTTTAAGAGTGCACCTTTTGGTAAACAGTATAAATTAATGCAAGGCTTCTCTGACTCAATAACAAAAGTATATTATGATTTTTTTTAAATCTGCTTGATAATTTTATACTCTCAGGTGTTAGGACTGGATAGGAGAGGGCTGTTGAAATAATAAGGAGAAGTATTTTATCACTGGAATTGCTTAACATTTCTGAATTTTATTTGGTTTTATTATTATTATTTAAAAAATATTGAGAGACAATGGATTCCTTACTGTCTACACTCATGTAATTATTTTCACTTGTTTCTTTCCTTGGTTCACCATAATACAGTCTAATTGCATGCAAGTGTTTTGTCTTTAATTTTTTGTCTTTCCCACAACATCCTTAGACCCAGATACACATCATCTGTTGTATTCCTTCTGTGTGTTAACATTCGTAGTTGTGTGGTTACATAGTTACTGAGACTTACCCATTTTACCCCAGTTACAAGGATTGATGGTACCAGATGTGCAGTGGTAGATTAGCGGAGATTTAGGTCTAGAAAGAAAATGAAAATTAGATAAGTACAATAAAATGTAAAACTAATGAGTTACAGAAAACTAAGGGGAAATGACATTTAGACAGGGTAGTTTCATCATTTCCTAGGACTAAGGCAGCTTATGCAATGCTTCCAACTTTTAGATTAATAAGCACAATGAAAGAAGATTAAAAAAAGTGTGTGTAAGACTCTGTGTGTATGTGTGTGTGTGTGTGTGTGTGTAATAGCTTTCAATGATGGAATAAATAACTGAGGTACCACAAAGAAGAGATGAAATCACATTTCTAACTTCTGGATATTGTCAGTGGACAAACAAGTAATATTTTCTCCTAAGTGCAGTAAAATCGTACTGGATTAAAAGACATTTAAGTGTGTGAACTCATAGAGGGAACTTTTAATTGTTCACATTTATTAACAGAGCCAAATGCATAAGCAACTTCTTTTCTCTTTGTACCGGTCATGCATGGTCATCTGGATTTTGGTCATTTACCAGGAACGAGAAGGCCGATAAAATAATAAATATATTCTCATCTCAGTCACTTTTATCTCCTTTGCCTTGGAAAAATAAAACCTTTTTAAAGATTGCTGAGTAGGGGGGGGGGGAACCAAAACAAGCCCTACAAATCCTTTTAAATGACACAAGAATTTTATGATTAAAAGGTTTGTTCCATTATGATGAACCAGTCCCAACCTATACATAGCTCATTTTGTCCAGTTGATTCCAACTCACAATGACGCCCCCTCCAATTTGGTTTACAAGGCTGTAAATATGTCCAGGAGGAGACTGGCAATCTTCCTCCTGCAAAGCAGCTGATCAGCTGATATTACACAGTAGTTCTGAAACAACTCAATGACCAATGGCTATACTCAACCACTAGTATAAATGGCATACTCTGAAACTCACTCCTTCCGTGGAACTGGAATGGACTCCTAGCCGACTCTCCAGTGCACAGGAGGAAATTTCCCGTCTTTCTCGTGCGGAGCAGGTAGTGTATTCCAGCAGCCAGAGGCACCGTGTGAGCAGTGCCTCCGCCTACAGGATGCCCACCAAAGTCCCTATTGGCATACTTGAAAGTATATAAATACTGAAAAAGATTCCCTCTAACGCCTGGAATCTTCTTCGGTAAAGTGCTTACATTTAAAAAATGTGTATCTTCACTCTCATCATCATCAAAGCTTTAAAAGGACGTCTTCGGAAAAAAAGAAAGGAAGTCAAAGGATCTCACCGGTGAAGCGCTGTGTACCACCCTACTGCTAAGGTAAGATTGACCACAGTGTCCACGGGAACTAAATCGGCCACGGCCTTGGGAGTAGCTTTTAAGCATCGAAGAAAACCTTTCCCGGTCTGTGTAGGTAAAAAAAAAAAAAAAAAAAAAAGAAAAGAAAAGAAAAGCGCAGTTTATCAGCTCTTAAGTAATAGCTGGAGCTAAAAGATAGATTAAATGTTGCTGGTATGTGCCTGTCAGGTTGGAACCAACTCATAGCTGACGTTCCATCAGGTTTTCAGAGTCTGCAAATCACAAAAGATGCCCAACTTTCTAGCAGGAAGCAGCTGGTGGATTCGAACTGGCTGCCTATGATTTGGCAGCACAATTCCTTACCCATTAGACTACCAGAGCTCTCTCTATATGAAATAGATAAAAACAATGCTGTTTGTAATAGAAGCTAAGACTGCTTTTTAGGTCACTGGGGTAAGTTGGCCTGATCTCAGCCCATTTAACCTCCCCTGTCGAGTTCATCTCTTCCTCTCTTTAAAGTAATCCTTATTTGAGTGAAAGATTACAAATTATATTAATTGTCTTTGTTTCCAATAATGTGTAGTGTTTATATTTCAATTCATGTGTACCTGGTTCTGAGAATAACAGAGAAAGAGTCGGAGGCATTGGTGCCTATAGGATTTAAAGTCATGGGTTGTTTTTTGTTGTTGTTGTTGTTAGATGCCATTGAGTCAAGTACGATTCACAGCGATCCTATAAACAACAGATCTGAACCCTGTCCTATCCTGTCAATCTGTCACACCTGAGCCCAACTGCTGCAGTCACTGTGTCAATCCACCTGGTTGAAAGTCTTCCTAGTTTTCACTGTCCCTCTCCAAGGAAAAGCCTCTCCTGGCAACATGTCCAAAGTATGTGAGATGAAGCTTTAGCATCTTTGCCTGCAAGGGGGACTCTGACTACTCCTTCTCCAAGACATATCTGCTTGTTAGTTTGCATTGTTGTTGTTGTTATAAGGTGCCATCAAATTGAATCTGACTCACAACAACTCTATGAACAACCTGTTCTATTCTGTGCCATCCTCACACTTCCGGACACACTAGAACCCCTTGTGGCCCTTCAGTACTCTTCTCCAAAACCATGGGTCAAAAGCATCAATTCTTCTGTCATCCTTAGTTATTGTCCGGCTCGCAGATGCATAGCAAAGTAAGTTGGTTCCAACTTGCACAGTGATGACTTTTGGACTTAAAGATGTTCTGGTCCCAGGAGTCACAGAAACTGTGAAGCACTGCCCTGTGGCAAGACTCATATACACAATGAGCAATAAACCAAGAGGGATAATTGAAGATTTTGTTTTCTCCAAGAGAACAACTATTTAAAATTTTTTTCCCAATCAGTTACAGAGTCTGGCAGCCTAGTGGGTAGGATTTCACAATGCCAACTCAAAAGGCAGGCCTTTCTCATGGTTCAAATCTACCAAGTGCTTTGTGGAATGAAGATGGGCAATCTTGTCCCATGTGGAGGGTCAGCTATGAGTTCCAATTAAATGGCAATGAGAAAGATTTTTATATTTGAAAAGTTTACTCCAAATTGTTGGTGTTGTTATTTAGGTGCTGTCAAGTTGAATACAACTCGCAGCAACCTGTGAATAAAAGATCTGAACTCTGTTCTATCCTGCTCCATCCTCACGCTTCCTGACACACAAGAGCCCATTGTAGCAGTCACCCTGTCAATCCACCTGACTGAAGGTCTTCCTCTCCTTTGACGACCCTCCAACCTTTCTAGCATCAATGTCCTTGTCCAAGGACTAACCCCTACTAGAAACATGTCTGAAGTATGTAAGATAAATACTCATCATTCCTGCCTCCAAAGAGCACTCCTGATGCACCCTCTCCAAGACATATCTGTTCATTCTCTTGGTTGTCCATGGGATGTTCAGTGTTCTTCTTCAACACCACAGCTCAAAGACATCAATTCTTTTCCTGTCATCCTTATTCATTGTCTAGCTCTCAGATGCTTAACAAGTTATAAAAAAGACTATGGCCAGAATCAGACACACCTTAGTCCTCAAAATGACATCACTACTCCTCAATAATTTGGGGAGGTCCCTAAAAGCAGATTTTCCCAGTGCACTATGTCTCCTTATTTCCTGACTTCTCATACCAAGGGTGCTAACTGTGGAACCAAGTAAAATGAAGCTGGTGATAGTTTCAATCCCCTCTCCGTGCATCATGACTTTGCCTTATCAGTGCAGTGTTAAGAATCTTTGTTTTCTTGACATTGAAATACAATCCATACCAAAGGCTGCATTCCTTGATCTTCTGCAACAGGTGCTTCAAGTCCTCCTCACTTTCAGTAAGCAATGTTGTGTCATGTGCATAATGCAGGTTATTGGTAAATCTCTCTCCAATCCTGATGCCACACTCCTCCTCGCAGAGTCTAGCCTCTCAGATAATTTGCTCAGCATACAGATTGAATAGGTATAGAGAGAGACTACAACCCTGGCACACCCTCTTCCCAATTCCAAGCTATGCAGAGCGCTCTAGCTGTTTACACAACAGCCTCATAAGCACAATCAAGTGCTATGGGATGCCCGTTTTTCTCAGTGTCAGTCACAACTTGTCATGATCCACACAGTCAAATGCCTTTGCATAGTCAATAAAGCACAAACAGACATTCTTCTGGTATTCCTTACATTCAGCCGGGATGCATCTGACATCAGCAATCATATCCCTGGTGCCACGGCCTCTTCTAAATCCTACCTTTGGCAATTCCCTATCAGTGTACGGTTCCAGCCAAATAGTAATAACTCCATAATTTTTCTTGAATTTGTTAAGAACTAGGTATTGGTGCTTTATCTAAATATATATCTTTCTCCATCTATCTACACATACATAAATGCATATATATATTCTATACAATTCTAAGGAGATTACTCATTTATTGCCCTCAGAGTGGACTATATTATTAGAAGTCTCCATTTGAAAAAGAATATTTGAAAACATGATTTTTTCTACATCCTCAAACTGCACTTAACTGTCAATGTGATGAAAATGATGGAAATGTCTCCATCTTGTGGTAGTTCTTGGGAAAGACATGGACGCAATACCTTTGTACAAGTTTCTAAACTAGAACAGTAATTGATAGGGTATGTTGTTGTTGTTGTTATGAGTTCTCAAGTCGTTTGAGACTCATAGCGACCCTATGTATAAGAGCTCTAAACGCTGTTCTATCCGGTGCCAACCTAGCCATCTCAAACGCACTTATTCCGACCGCTCCAGTCACAGAATCGATCCATCTCATTGAGGGTCTTCCTCTCTTG